GTGAATCTGCGTTATGTAGCCACAGAGTATAAAGTGTGTTTTATAACAATTAAGATCTGTTCAGTTCTCAGTAATTGTCGTGTTATTCGTCTCAATACTCGGTCATCTTCACTTTGTAACACTGAACAAAATAGGAAGTAGCAGTTATTTATTTATTTTTTTACTTGAAACTAGAACAAAGCTGCGATTGAGTCGGCGTCTTAAAGAAAGTCTCCTGCTTGTTTCCCACAAAGCCACGTAAAAGTACTCGGTTGATTTTTATTTTGAGGGAATAGATGGTAATGGTCAGCGGCAGACTGGCGACCGCGGGCGAAACGGGGACCTGTGCCCAACACAGCTGTTGCCATGGTAACTGCAAAGGACCGGGTGGATCGAGTTATAATTGGACGGAGCAAACGGTGGGTTGTGGGAGGGAGAGACACGGAGCACAGGGGTGGAAGATGAATTAAGGGATGAGAGAGAGAGAGGGCTCCGCCTGCACGGTGCCAGCGTAGGTAAAGAGGAGGAGGAGGAGGAAAAGTTTCTTGTGTGAGGTCACGTGGCGTTTGACAGACGTAATTGGGGGGGGGTAGAGACATGCATACATACGCACATTAAAAGCATGATGTCTGCGAGAGGAGACAGCCAATGAAAGCTGCTGAACACCTACACAGACATCGCACTGCCAGCACAGCAGCAGGGAGAGATAGTTAAGCTCAGCTGAGGGGGAATTTCTCTTCTACTGTTTTTTCACACCTTGACTGTTACTTCACTCTTATCTCTGTTATATATGACTAAGCTCTGAGCTTCTGTGGTTTCCCACCAGCACTTTGTATTGCCTACCTCACCTCCTCATTCCAACCTTTACATACAAGCAATCAACAGATGTTCTTATCTTAAGTGTAGATCTTTTGCTGTGCTGTTGTATGACAGTCGGACTCTGAAGTGAGAGACTGAAAACACTCGTACGCAAACACATTCGCAATATATTGTTGCTATTCAGTTAAAGAATTGAGCTGTATACAAACCAGGCTAAAGGAAACACTCGTTACTGCGCTCTGAATAATTGGTCAGATGTAGTTCATTACTAAGGGCTTGTAATGTTTACCCAGGGTTGTAACCACTGAGCCACAGTAATCCCTCATCTCCACCCTGCCCTCTTTCACCCTCTTTTCCTTTCACTCACACAGCCATGCTGTCCGACTCCCTGTGCTTAACACACTGTGTTTGCTGGATTGACTTGTTGGGAGCTCAGTGCAGTTGATAAGCCTTAATCTCTTACTCACTCTCTCTCTCTATTTCTCCCCCCCTCCTCCTCTGTGGCCCTTCTTCAAATGCTTAATAGTTGAACTCTTACTGGAAACGCCTAGGCTTAAAAGAAGTACAGTCACCCCATATTTTTACATGACGCAAGATGCTTTACTGATGCCAAAGGGCTGAGAAGATAAAGGGACATGAGAGTTTAGTGGCATATTGAAGTGGCACTTGGCGAATTACAAAAAAATCTTCTTTTTATTTGACACGTTAGAATATTATTTATCTTTTTTTTAAAAGTATTTTATAGTTTCACAGATCCAAAATTGTGATTTTTCAGTGTTTTTTTTAATTAGAGAAGTGAAACCCAGGACTGAGAGGGTTAACTTTTCTACTACTGAGGACAGCGGCTGCCAGTGGCTCTCACAACCTTATTGGTCAGTACCCAAGCTCCTGATGAGCCGACTGGCTGGTAGAGGTAATGAAGTCCCTCCCCTTATTGTATTTGTCTTATGGATAGATGAGCTAAGCTGAGCGTGACTTCTTGACTCATACAGTTTGACGGGAAACCAAATCATGCAAGCAAGTCCCTTCCTAGTTTGCTGTGTTTTACCGAAATGACATCGGTGTATATTTAAATGCTTTTTCCTTTGTCTCCCTCTCTCTCTCTCTCTC